ACACACACACACACACACACACACACACACAATAATGACATGAAAAATCTACAACAGTATTAGTTAAAATAAATAATTAATTTGTTACAGATTTATATTATAGCCATCTATTTTGTATGTGACAGTCTGTCTCAATGTTCGGATTAATAAAACATAAAGTGATTAATTTTTTTATATTCGTTATCCAATAGAAAGTTAAGTTCAAATATTAAAATATCAAAATTGTTTACCGAAAAAAGTTTTTAATAAAACACATAATTTTTTTATTGTTATCTTTTTYTAACTATATTTAAGAGATAAAATATATTACAGATTTATTGTGTGTGTGTGTGTCCTATAATATCGATGATAGAGTGGGCGTACGATAAAAATCTTTCAWCAAATTTTAGTTGTTTTTGTAGYATTTTTTTCAGTATTTTTTGTGTTCCAATTGTTAAGAAACAACAAAAAAATTATTGGAAATTATATTTTTTTCACTATTAATTCAATGTTAGAAAAGTTAGATTAATATAATATAATAAAATAWATATAGATTTAAATTGAGCATGATAATTTATATACAGTATATATGTTGTTTGATTATTAAGTTATTAAATTCTATAGTAATCTAATTTATCTAAAATTTTTAGTAATATGTATAGACAGTGTAATAGTTTATTAAGTATATTTTATTTTAGTATAAATAAGTTATTTTTAAATGATATATAGTTAGTTTTAATTTTATATTAACTGTAAAATTATTTTTAGCTATACTTTATAATTTTTTACAATTTTACATAGCTTTTATAATAAGTTTTATAAATTATAAATATAAATTTTAAATATAAATCATAATTCTACATACATTAATAAATTATAATAYATATAATTATTATATGATATTTAAGGAAATTTATTTATTAATAATTTTGGTTTCGTTTAAATGAAAAGTCACTGATTATGGACAGGGATTTGAGTTTTAGTGCAATTTATATTTATACAGTATATGTCTCACATATGTTTCAATGCATTTAAATTATAAATAATATGTCGGCATCTTATTTTTATTCATCATATAAATTATATTATCTATAATATAAAGTAAATTTTATTTCTATGTTTCATTGGGATATTGAAAGGCATTTTTTATTTTTAGAAAATTACGTTTAAGTTTATACCGGTATACAGTATATCGTAAAATAAAAAACCAAATTAGCATACAGTATACTGTAGTATATCATAGTTTATATGYATTGAAAATAAAAATTTACTAAAATATATTTTTATTAAGTAACATAWAGTAAAATAATAATGTTATATTCTATAATATATGATGATTATGTATATATCAKATATTAATAAAATATTCGCCAAAAAACTATTTCCTTATTTGACCATAAAGTTGATAAAATCATAATTGATATAATCTATTGATATTTAAAAAAATTGTGCAAATATTAAATGATATTAAWTATTTATTAATAGACAAAAAGAAATAATATAATCAAATAAGCTGTAATATCTGATAATATCTAATATTGTACATATAAACTAGTTATAATTACAAAAAGATAATAAAAATATGTCAATTTTTAATGACAACAATTTATCTATTTTACATACAAACAAACACAAATATATATATATATATATATATATATATATATATATATATATATATATATATATATATATATATATATATATATAKAGAGAGAGAGAGAGAGAGAGAGAGAGAGCAATTAATATGGGTTTGGTATGGTTTGGTTCGTTGATTATGAAATATTAATGATTCCCAAAAAAACAGTATTTATGTCTAAATGTTAATTGATGACAACTCATTGGTTTTTTACCAAATAAAATATTTATATAGAAAATAGATTAATTAGGTCACAATATATATATTATTAAATTGGTTCAATATTTGATCAATTTGATAGATYATCTAAGTTAGTAATTAAGTTTATTTATTTTTTTATGATAAATATAAAGCTTCAATTTGTTAAATAAAAAATTCTGATAATTTTGATATTATTATTAATTTTGATAATTTTCCAAAATAAATATTCTTAAAATTATATAATATATTTTTGCTATTATTATTTACTATTGACATGAATTTTGTGACATTTAAAATATTGATAAAAAAACTATTTTTAATTTGAAAATTAATAATTTAATATTTACAAAGTTTTCCACTATAAATAAATTTGTTTACATTAAAGGCTATTTTTACTKTATTATTTGAACTTATCTTTRTTGATGATTGTGTGTTTTATTGCAWTATAAATACAATTGTAAAACAAACAATAATTTGTTGTTAATTATAAATGTACAACAAATGCATCTTTTAAATAATGAATGTTAGCTATTATATAATTATAGTCTGATAATTGCAAATCGACATTAATTTSGTTTCTATAAAAATAATTTTGTATTTTATACAATTAATTTTGACTCTAAAATGTATTTTCTATTAATTAAATAAGTAAATATATGACATTATAATTTTTTCAAAATAGAAATTTTAGTAAATATTAAAAAATWATAATAATTAAAAATATGAACAAATTGTAGACTTAATATTAAATTCTTTTTCTTTAAGTAAATATACGATACATTATATAAAGTGATTATATATTTTTTGTGTAATTATCTTATCTGCAAAATAAGTTTTCAAATAAAAATTTAGTTTTTACATTAAAATAATTATTATAACAAAATGTTTGTTTGTTTATGAATAATATAATCTTGCAATTAATATTTTTATCTGAATWTTTTAAAGTACAGTAAATTAATTTTTTTGTTAGTTTAAGTGGAATATGTAAAACATATGGTATTTTGTAAATCATTCATAAAACAAAAATATAATATTTTTTTGTGGAAAATAATGCAATTCTTATCTTTGAATTTTAAAAGTTTTTTTGCTTTAGTAAACAAAAACAATACAATCAATATATACAATATATAATATTTAGCATAAAGTATAATCAAAATGCAGTGTTTGAATACTATATATATTAATATAAATACATTATTATGTATATAMATATTTAACATATTACGTTGCTCAGTTTTCCATAATCTACTATCATACTGTATATTAATACATTTTCAATTATATAAATTGTATATAAAGTATTATTGTACATAAACAATATTTTCATACTTAATTTTATAGATTATATTAATATATAATAATCTTATAAATAATCAGATTCTGTATTATTTAAAACATTAAGTTAAGCAATAGGATTATTAAAATACCAAACATTGTTATGACATCAACGCTCAGTTGTATATCTACTATATATATATATATATATATATATATATATATATCTTTGTGCTTTATGTTTGGGGATTAATATAATTTTATTCAAAATTGAATTTATTTAATTTAACTTAATGATGATTGTGTAATACAATGTAACTATAAATAAACATATACGCAAAGAGAGAGAAAAAAATTTATTGCTATAATAGATAACATACGGTATATACATATATACAAAATTGTGATTTATATGATATCGTTGAAAAAATCAATAAAAAAAGATTATTAGCAAACGTTGTAAAAATTCAATTTTAMTAAAATGTTTAATTTRGAATTTAAAAGCAAATTAAATGTAATTAAATATTTTTATAATATTTGTTTGTTTATTTGTATTGAAAAATTGATGTCTTTTATTTAATATGTAATTATAATATGTTGTTATTATTGTTGTGTTATGTTTAAAAATTATATATGAAAAGATTATTGTAATAGATAATTTAAATTGAAAATTTTARTAATCATAAAAAATATCATTCAATAATGTTTAAAGAAAAATTAATAATTTTTATAATATAAAAATAAATATCGGTATATTCAATATAAAATTTGTATAAATACTGTAACTAACTGTAAGTAACCACTCATGACTTTATATTTAACATATCAATGATGTATTACTTATGTATTAAAGTTATAAAATATAAATATTGATCTAAAAATAAGTGACAACATATTCATTGATAAATACATTTTTCTTAATACAGTACAAATATATTTTTATAAGTATTTAATGTATTTATATAAGTATATATGATATATAATTTTACAATTCATTCAACTTTGACTTTCAAAAAAAAAAAACATTAAATATTATAAAAGTATATTGAATTGTAATATAAATTGTATTATACAGTACTGTATTTACAATTGAAATTGTATTAATAATAATATGATTTAATAGTGTAATCTTGACTTAAAAATACAAAATACAAAACATAACTATTAAATAAAAATATATAACAATTTCCATTAATATATAGTATTATTAAAAAATATCTACTCTATATAATTAAATAAGTTGTTATAAAAAATGTTTATTTTAAGTTTGTGTTACTTTGCATATTATAATAAATTTATGTCATATTTTTATAAATTATTTTTTTTGTTTTGTAAACATTTGAATATATGAGTCTTATTCATTATACGGCATCTAAAAGGTTGCAATTTTCATATCAATTTGATTGACAAATAAAAATTGTGAAAAACACACAATAATCTATAGATTCTATACTGTATATAAAGTTTTTTATTGTAGTATTTTAAAATAAATTGAAAAAACTATAATTTGAATTTTTTCTTTACTTAAACCAATTTCAAAAATTGCTTTTTTGTTTTGTTAAAAAATAGTATTGAATATTATAGTTTTGTCTTTACTTTTTGTGGATATTACAAGCTATAGTTAAATTCATTCAATAGCGAGAACCCATAATAATCACATGTGTTATATAAATATAAAACATTTTTTTTATATTCATAGCCTATGAATCTCATTGGAGTMTCAAAATAATACATCACATTTACACACACACACACACACACACACACACAAACACAACACACACACAAACACACACACACACACACTAGAGAGTCATAATAATAATAAAATTTTCCCGTTTTTATCGATTTATTTAATACATTAAATCCAACGTTAAATTTCTATTTTGCTTATGTATGACAACAGGTGTGGACACGAAAATGCGGTTTAGTATTGAGCCCTATCCGGGTGACAGTGGTTTCAATCAATGGCACGATGCCATGCGTATGGTTGCCCGACTTCCCGGTGGTATACCCACGGAATTTCGCAAAAAGGTTAGAAATAAAACTTTATTTTGTTTATTAAAAAATTGTCAGTTAAAAATAACAACTCTTGCAAAAAAATATAATAAATTTTAGTTTTATTTTTTATGAGTCTATTACTATTATTAGAAACACTAATTAAGCAAAAAATATTAAAATCAATAAATGTGATATGTTTATTTTGTTTGAACATAACATTATTACTTAAAAAAATATTTACTGTTTTTAGCTAAATATTATTATTTAAAAATAAAAAAAAATATTTGCTAAATTATTAATTATATAATTAAGATAATAATTTTTAGGGTAGATATATATATATATATATATATATATATATATATATATATATACTGGTACAGTATATAAACCATATATATATATAATGAATTTACGCGAAATAATGTTTTGACATAAATTTTGATATTTTAAGATTACAACAATAATTCCGACACAATAACTGTTWAATTAACATACARTATAAACAAATGTGTTYAACTTTCTCGACAATGAAATAGTTGTTAATTTATATATATGTTTTRTATATTTTTATTAGTTTGTGTCAAACATATATATATCAAGTGAAGTTATAAATCCCAAAGTGTTTAATATGTTATAAACACTATACATAAATAATAAGATATCTTATAGATTATGTTATTATTATTATTATTGATGTACAKTATTTGGTATTTTTTAATAAAAACTAAAATATGAATTATTAATTAGTTATGCGTATTATATACTGTAAACTATAGTTTTTTGGTTCAATAAACTTTAGTTTTGTCAATCATTTTCATTTAAAAAACTTATTATATTAAATACATTATACAGTATATTATAGATATTTATATAATAAGACTAAAATTTCAGGAATTTATTAGTCTATAAAAATTGGAATAAATAATTTTTTCTATATATTTAATAAGTATTTTAAAAAATAAAAATAAATAATTGAAAAAATATAAGGCGWTGTATATAATGAAAAAGCAAATGTTTAATTATAGTATAGTATTAATTATTAGTATAGAAAATATAAATATATTATAAATTAATTGACAAAAGATCTAAATTGATAATAAATATGTTAATATTCATAAAAGCTAAACATTTAAACATTATAACAATTTTATACAATTTAACAAAAAGTGAAACAGATTTTTGTTAGTTATGACACATTTATCTATTAAAAAAATAAATAAAATTAGGTAATAAATTTAGGTTTATAGTTTAGGATATATATATATTGTCAACCAATTGATGATTTATCGGTTTTCAAAACAACTAAATTACATTTTGTTTGSAATTCTCAGACTATTAATAAATTAATAGACAATACATAATATAAGAACAAAATTGTATTAAATATAATATATAAATAATTAATTATTTTAGTTTTATCATTATTGCTTAGATAGACATGCAGTGTGTATACTATAATATATATGTTGTGCAATAACTGTCCTCAAAGTATATTCAATGCATATGTAGTTATATAACACACTGTCTTAGTCTTATAAATATAATACTATGAAAACATAACGCAAGTGTTTACAGATCACTACTATAACTGTATATTTTTAAATGTCAAACGTATAGTGAACTTGATATTAAAAACTTGATATTATTATACTGTATTTGTGATACAAATTAAATATTTATAAGTTATATACCGATAATATATATTTATTTTGTTTATTTATAATTAATTGTTATATTATACTGTATACATATTATAGATAGCGTTTTTGTTGTTGTTATGTTATTTTTATAAATTTATTACATAATATTATAACTTATTGTATACATTTCTTAAAATAGTAATGTTTTTACGTTAATATAATTTTATTTTTTTTAATTATTTTTTATACTAACATAAATTTTTACTACAAGTGTAGAATTTCAATTATCATTTTCAAAAATAATATTTTGTTTTATCTATAAATAGTAACACAATTAATATACTAGTTATTATATAAATAAGTTTTTATAGTGAAAATATAAGATTATAAATTAATATTATATAAATTATAACATRTTTTTCTTGTATTTATTTATAATATTACATATGTTTAAAATGTCTTTAGTATTAAAAAACATATAAAATAAAAATAAATTATTTCTACATAATTAAATATTAATATAACAATAACTTTTGACCTTAAAATAAGTGAAAATTATAAAAGTTGCTAAAATTTGTTTTATGATATAWTTTTKTTGTTGAAAAAGACATTTATCTTTCGAAAATATTTTGTTATATAATTATGACAAATGATTTATAAAATTTATTATTAGAAATTTTATAATTTAATTTATACTTTTTTKTGAACAAATATAATAATACTTTTAGCGTTTCGTTTTGTTTTTAAAAAATTAGATAAAATTTTTTTTTAAAATATGTCATTTTCCTAACTTAAAGCTTGAAAAAAACAAAAAATATTTTTAAATAACTATATTTTTAATTAATTGAATTATTTTTCTAGTTATATTTCTAAAATTTTCATTTATTTTTTTTAAATTTTCAATATATTTTTAAAATATATGATTGAATTGTGCAGTTATTTTAAATGATACAATAAATAATCAAATTTTATATCYCAATAATTTGAAGGTCACTATTGTTTTTCTATATATTTAATTATAATACATTTTTACAATTTCCCATTTAATTAATTTGGTTTCGTTTTTTATACAATAATTGTAATAAATAAGTTCATAAAATACAGCAATAAATTATACCTTTACTCGTCGTAAAATATTTTGATTATTATTTTATATCTATACTAGTATACTATATATTGTATATTGTAGATCATTTAATGCTATATTGGCTCATTTATTTAAACTATAATTTAGTGAGTGAGTGGGAGAGAGAGAGAGAGAGAGAGAGAGATTTTGTTTATTATTTATTTTCTTAGTATTTCTCTTCTCATAAATAATTTTGTATTAAATCTGGTTTTACTGCCAATCCTTTAGTGTATTTGTTTTATTGATAATAACTTTTTTTATTCAATCGTCTATCGGCTTATTTTGAGACTATCTTTTACTTTCATTATAATCTTTATTTTGACTATTTTTTTTGGTCAAAATCTTAAGTATTTTTTTTGGACACCTAACTCACAGCTGATATATAATATTAATTATAACACAAAAGTTAAATAGTGTTAGTTTTGTGTGTATTTGTGGACGTCTTATCAGAAAATTATACCCAAACTTAGGTATTACTAATAATTAAAACTTAATTACAAAAGTTTRTATATATAAGATAAAAAATAAAAAGTAATATTAAATAAACATTATTAACTTATTAAATTGAATTACTAAATTTTAATTAGATATAAAATTTTATCAAAAAATATAATTTTACAGATTAATTTGATACATTTATTTTATTTTTAACTAATTTAAAAAATTGTCTAATATTTCTTTAGAAATATAATTTTAAATTTTTATGTTATGTACATATAAAGTATATTTTTAATGTTTTATAATATTTATAGCATAGTTTTATATAATCTAGGACAGTTTTATGAGATGATTGTTATGTAAATGTATAAAATTTCATAAATTTAATGTCATAAAATAATAACATTGTTGAGTATTTTGTAAAATTAAGACTATTTTACATACAAAACATAGCATTAAAATTTTCCTTTGGTTAAACAAATTGTAAAACAACCATAAAATAAATAATATTTAAAACGACTTCAACGATATTATTTACAGTAAGCTATTATTGTTACAATTATTTTAATAATGTCTCTGTTATGCCGTATATTGTAATCAAATGTTAAAAACAACCTAAATATCAGACAAATGACTATATTTTTTAATGTTTACTTAATGCACATTTCATATGATTGTTAAATATAATATTATACAGTAGTTATACAGTACATACATTTAATTAAAGTTTACATAAACTTTTATTAAAACTTTTATTTTCTATGTATGTCTATGTTTGCATAGATTAAAAATTTACAAATTGTCATTTTAAGTTAATGTTTAAAAAAATATTATTTATCTATATTATCTAAATTGTTTATTTTGTAGTGAATTTATATTTTCATTATACAGTATATCTATTGCACTTTATTTTGTAATGTAGTGTAATATTTGTATTTACTTTACAATAAAATATGTTAATACCTGTTGTTAATACAGTCTAATAAATTTACAGTAAATTTTATATGGAATATGTTATACTTCGCTGCAATAATAAGTGTATTACAGGAAAACATAAAACTTAATAATTGTTTTTTTTAAAAAACTATTTGTAAAATTATTGGTTAATATTTTATTATTATTTTTGATAATTTAAAAATTATGTGTTAATTATATCCAATACATTACTATCYAATTCATATTAATATACTGTAGGCTATAAATTGTCGATTTTGCCCAACCATTATAAATTATATTGTGTGAAATCTACATAAAATTAGATAAACACATTTTATATATATAAATAAATAAGCATACATTACAATTGCTTGAATTTGCAATAAAATGCTATAATAATAATAATAAAATTTATGTTATTTGAATTTTTGCTGATATTAAATTTTTAAAATTTACAGTATACTAACATTTTTAAAGTAATAAAAGTTGTATTATTATTATTATTATGAGAAATTACTTAACAGTACTATTAATTAGATGTATATAATTTAATATCAAGTGTTTCACAACTATTATATAATTAGACTAAAATAATAAGTGTGATTTGTGGCTGAAAATGATATAATTGAGTTTATTTTAGCGAAACTTTTAGTTTAAATTGTAAAATAGTTTAAATCGCAAGTATATTAAATACAATTTATCCTAAAAAAGGGAATATGTTTTGTCTAAATATTCATTAAAACTATCATTTATTTTCCATTAAAAATATATAATTACATTTTAATATACATTAAAATTATATAATAATTTAAAATAAAATAGACTTTTAATAATACTAATAATAATAAGGTATTACAGTATTCTCATAGAATATACTATAATTAATTCAT